AAGACTCTCAAATCTTCTGGACAGAGTGAAGAAACATGTCTCCCTCCTGCTCTGCATTTCATTCCACCCAAAACCCATCAACAGGAATCCATTAATGAAGTCCATATGGTGCTATTTCCTGTCATGGATGATCTTTTAACCAAAACCCATCTCTCTCCTCATGACATTGATATTCTCATCGTTAACTGCAGTGGCTTTTGTCCTTCTCCTTCCCTCTCCTCCATAATCATCAACAGATACTGCATGAGAAGCGATATTAAGAGCTTCAATCTCTCTGGAATGGGGTGCAGTGCAAGTGCTGTGGCCATTCATTTAGCTGAAAATCTACTTCAGGTCCACGAGAACTCAAATGCCGTAGTGCTCAGTACTGAAATTCTATCAAACGGTTGGTATGCAGGAAAGGAACCCTCCAGATTAATTCTGAACTGCTACTTCCGCATGGGCGGTGCAGCTATTCTGCTCACCAACAGAAAAGAGGCGAAAGATTATTCAAAATACAAACTATTCAAATCACTTCGAACCCTGACATCCTTCGACGATAAGAGTTATCTTTCAGCCATGCGGGAAGAGGATAATGACGGAAAACTCGGGGTCTCTGTGACGCGAGACACGCTACAGGTTTTCCCAGAAACTCTCCGGATAAACATAACCCTTCTTGGTTCATCAATCCTTCCATTATCAGAGAAACTAAAACACGTGGTTTCGAGGCTACGGAAGCGATTCTTGGACAAATCCCAAGAAATTTACATACCCAATTTCAAGACAGTGATCAATCATTTTTGCTTGCCGGTATCAGGGGGTACAGTGATAAGGGCGATCGGGAAAGTGCTGAAGCTCAACGATAAAGACTTGGAAGCGCCATTGATGACTCCGCATAGATTTGGGAACCAGTCTTCCTCTGCGTTGTGGTATGAACTTGCGTACTTCGAAGCAAAAGAAAGAGTTGAGAAAGGAGACAAAGTTTGGCAAATTGGGATGGGCACTGGGCCCAAATGTGTTAGCTTGATTTGGGAATGCATCCGGCCCATTTCCGGAGAGTCCAAGAATGACCCATGGGCCCAAGTAATCCATCACTATCCAATCGTAGGCCCATCAACTTAAATCTCGCATTATCCACCTACCTTATTATTACTGTTATTATTAATTCTATAAACTTTATTATTACGGTCAATTATGCATTAATTTAGAGCTTCTTCTATTTTATCTTCATAAATTCTACCAATGTAGCATGAAAAGCCTTGTACTAATGTAAAGCACAATTTATTTATTTAAAACACTTTCATAAAACAATATCATAAGCTTACATGTTTAAAAAAATGATCGGATAAAATTTAAAATAAACCTAGGTAATTGAAAAAAAAAAAATTCATACACTAATATAATATATACGAAATTAAATACAACTACACTATGCAAATTTTACAATCTTTAATTACGATACCGCCCTCAGTAATGGGTTTGCCTTTACTTTAAATATAAAAGTAGTACATGACTTGAATATTTTACCAAACACTCGTTAAAAGGCTCTATCATAGATTTAAAGGCTTATTTTCTGATATCAATTCAAATATATATCATAGTACACTTATAATAAATTTGTTATTGTCGGTGTTTTCAATTGTGCCGCTCACTTTGACCCATTTCATTTCTACTCGAAACATTTTTAAATTTATTTCAAGAAATACTCTTCATATCTTGATAAAATATGGAGTTAATGTACGTAAATAAAAAATAAATAAAAAAATTTGTAGTTACCATTTAAAATAAATTCATAATATAAGACGTAGGAAGGAAGGTATGTGGTAATAAAAACAGGGGACCATTATCCATAGCCAAATTAACTTCTCACCACCAATACTCCCAACCCCTCTTCAGTTTTGGCATTCATGAAACAACCACCACTTTCATTTATTACCTACCTCCATTCCCCAATATCATCCCCCTCACCGCTCTCCCATTCTTTCTTTCTTTCTTCTTCTTCTTCTTCTTCCATGGCTCATACTCCTCTGCAATGGCTCTGTTTTCCTCTGTTTTTCCACTGTTTGTTTTTTTCAAGCGCCCAGTTTTTCAAAACCTATGTTGTTCAGATGGACAGGTCTGCAATGCCGGACTCGTTTTCCGATCATTTGGAGTGGTACTCCACTGTGGTAAGCAGTGTGGTGGTTGATAATCCTGAGAGAGAAGGTCAAGGTAATGGGGGAGGTGAAGACAGGATCATTTACAGTTATCAGAATGTTTTCCATGGAGTTGCAGCTCGATTGAGTGAAGAAGAGGCTGAGAGGCTCGAGGAAGAACATGGGGTGTTGGCCGTTTTTCCTGAGGTTAAGTATGAGCTTCATACGACTAGAAGCCCCAAGTTTCTTGGGCTTGAACCGGCGGACAGTAACAGCGCCTGGTCTCAGCAAATTGCAGACCATGATGTGGTTGTCGGAGTTTTGGACACTGGGATTTGGCCGGAGAGTGAGAGCTTCAACGATGCTGGAATGTCGCCGGTGCCGGCATATTGGAAAGGGGAATGCGAGACAGGGCGAGGCTTCACGAAACAGAATTGTAATAGAAAGATCGTTGGCGCTAGAGTGTTTTACCATGGGTATGAAGCTGCAACGGGGAAATTTAACCAACAGTTGGAGTATAAATCGCCGAGGGATCAAGATGGGCATGGGACTCACACGGCAGCCACCGTCGCCGGATCTCCGGTGGCAGGGGCAAATCTTCTGGGGTATGCTTATGGAACAGCTAGAGGAATGGCGCCTGGTGCTAGAATTGCCGCCTACAAAGTCTGTTGGGTTGGTGGCTGCTTCAGCTCCGACATTTTGTCGGCTGTGGACAGAGCTGTGGCCGACGGCGTAAATGTTCTGTCCATCTCTTTGGGAGGTGGGGTTTCTTCTTACTACCGTGATAGCCTCTCCGTTGCAGCATTTGGGGCAATGGAGATGGGTGTTTTTGTGTCCTGCTCGGCCGGCAATGGAGGGCCGGATCCTGTCAGTCTCACAAACGTATCGCCGTGGATAACCACCGTCGGCGCTAGTACAATGGACAGAGATTTCCCGGCCATTGTCAAGCTCGGCAATGGAAGAACAATCACCGGCGTTTCACTTTACAGAGGAAGAATCACGATTCAAGAAAACAAACAATTCCCAGTTGTGTATATGGGGAGTAATTCAAGCAACCCTGATCCGAGTTCGCTCTGTTTAGAAGGAACTTTAGATCCCCATTTCGTCGCCGGAAAAATTGTGATATGCGATCGAGGAATTAGCCCTCGGGTTCAGAAGGGAGTGGTGGTAAAAAACGCAGGTGGTATTGGGATGATTCTGTCGAACACGGCGGCGAATGGGGAAGAACTTGTTGCCGATTGCCATTTATTGCCGGCTGTCGCCGTCGGAGAAACAGAAGGCAAGGCAATTAAGCAATATGCATTAACAAATCGAAAACCGACGGCGACTCTAGGGCTTTTAGGTACAAGATTAGGGGTAAAACCCTCGCCGGTAGTGGCGGCGTTTTCTTCCAGAGGACCAAATTTCCTCACTCTGGAGATTCTCAAGCCCGATCTGGTAGCTCCCGGCGTCAACATCCTCGCCGCTTGGACCGGAAAAACAGGGCCGTCGAGCTTGACAACAGATACAAGAAGGGTGAAATTCAACATTCTTTCCGGAACTTCAATGTCGTGCCCACACGTCAGTGGAGTAGCGGCTTTAATCAAATCGAAACATCCCGATTGGAGCCCATCAGCGATCAAATCGGCGCTGATGACCACCGCATATGTCCACGACAACACCTACAAGCCTCTGAAAGACGCCTCCGCCGCATCCCCGTCGAGTCCGTACGAACATGGCGCCGGCCACATAAATCCCAGAAAAGCCCTAGATCCTGGTTTGGTTTACGAAATTAAACCGCAAGATTACTTCGAATTCCTCTGTACACAGGATTTAACTCCTTCACAGCTCAAAGTCTTCTCCAAACATTCAAATCGATCATGCCATCGCCTTCTCCCCAACCCTGGAGATTTGAATTATCCAGCCATCTCCGCCGTGTTCCCAGAGAAAACCACCGTCACCTCCCTGACCCTTCACAGAACCGTCACCAACGTCGGCCCTGCATCCTCGAGTTACCACGCAATAGTGTCTCCGTTCACCGGCGCCGCCGTGAAAATCGAGCCGGAGAGGCTGAACTTCACAAGGAGATATCAGAAGCTTTCATACAGAATCACTTTCGTGACGAAGAAGAGACTTAGCATGCCGGAATTTGGAGGGCTAATTTGGAAGGACGGAAGTCACAGGGTGAGAAGCCCCATTATCATCACTTGGTTGTCGTCTTTTTGAATCCATTTCTTCGCTTGTTTCTTTGTTTGATCCTTTTTGGAGCTCATGTTTTCAATCATCAAGTCTCAGTTCATGGGTTTTGCAATTAAATTTGCTACTAAATATCCATGTAGTATTACAAGAGAAATTAATGCAATGTTTATTTATTTCATATGCATTTTCTTAAAAACTTCCATTTTAATGTGAAGATTTATCAGATTGTGGGATATTTAATATCAACCTATCTGCATGTGTTATTAATTACTTCAAAATGGACAATAAATGAATGATTGTAACATGCATGAGAACCAAAGTTTGTAAAATATTCGTATCCTACGCTAATATGTGATGTCGCACGTTGGTTAGGAGGAGAACAAATCACGGGTGTGGAAACCTTCCCCTAGTAGACGCGTTTTAAAGCCTTGAGGGGAAGTCCGAAAGGGAAAGCCCAAAGTGGACAACATCTGCTGGCGGCAGATCTGGGCCGTTACAAACAGTATCAGACCCAGACACCAGACAATATGCTAGTAAGGATGTTGGGGCCAAAGAGGGTGAATTTGGGGCGGTCCCACGTTGATTAGAGGAAGGAAAGAGTGTCAGCTAGTACGCTGACCCCAAAGGGGGATGAATTTGTATAGTCCAGGGTGACCGTTAATATCAAATCATGATTCATTGTCATTTACTAGATATTCTTATTTACCGGGTTAGTAATGTTGTGAGTATCCTACATTAATTGGAGAGGAGAACGAAACACCTTTTATAAAAGGTGTGGAAACCTCCCCTAACAAACGCGCTTTAAAATCTTGGAGACAATATCATACCATTATCCCTTAATAAAAAAAAATTGGTCAATAATATAGATATAGATTATCTATAAATGTTTTAAAGCCCAAAATAAATTCATAAATGTTTTATAATATTTAAAAGTTATTCTCAAATATATTTGTATTATTTTACTATAAAATCCAATATGTTAAAATGTTACCACAAATCTTTGATGTGACAAGATTCTTACATCATTTATAGAATTAAAAAGCAGCTTTATTCTTATATTATAACTATTTATAAGGAATAGCTTTATTGTTTCAACTTAGGTGTAATTAATTAAAGTCAGTAAAATTACAAAAATACCCATCCTTCTTTAGGACACAATATTCAAATGAGTTTTGAACCACAAAGAATGGGCATGCTCCTGTCGCTTCACTACCTAACTCTCATTGTAGAAACTTTATTTATTTTATTTTATTTTTATTCGTTTGAAAATTTAAATAATTTTATTGGATAAAACGGGCGATGAGCACAGTAAATAAATATGCTACAAACACGAGCATAATTTAATTAAAATGCGATATTTTTTTTAAAGAAAGATTAATTTGTATTATAAACGTTAAATTATATTAAATTAGACTATATACTTAATTAAACGTTACAATTCATTAAGGTATAGCACCAAACTCTTCTATTTAATTTTAAAATAGTTTTTATGAAGAAATGTGGGCAAAACTTGGCTGAAAGCAAACAAAAAGAAAAGGCTCTTCGGGATTGGAACCGTCACTTTCGCCGTCACCGCCACGTACCCAAATACCTATACCACCTCTTTAATTGGCCCTCTCCTTTACCGCCACGTGTAATTACTCTTATAATTAAAATTTTAAATTGTAGAGACTATTTTTAATATTTAAAATTATTAAGATGAGATTTTATTATTATTTTTCAAAGACAATCCTTTTAAAAAGAATTATTAAATTAAATTAATTTTTTTTTTTTTTTTTTTTTTAAGTTTTTGGGATGAAAAATTTATTTTTGTAGGTGGAATACAGGAATTTAATTTATTATTATTGTTTGATTTACTTAAATAACTGGAATCTACGGAGGTTACAAGACTAAGTCTCTTCCTGTCAGATAGCTTTCCAACGTGTCAACGTTGAATCAGACACGTCACTATGAGTGTGCTGGTGAGATAAAATCACGCCACGTATACAGTAGTTTGCAAAAATAAATAAAAATTGAGAAAAAAGAAAAATCAGATTCCGTAAAGTAAAGCCTAGTCGATGTGGGACCCATATCTATCGTTTTATGGCAGGCCTGGCGTGGGAGTTTCTGATTGATCCACGTGTGTCATCCTCGCAAGCTGGGCCTCCAGTTTTTAAGCACTTTTGACACGTGTCACAAGGGATAATTCTCGCGATACGATTAATTGACTGGAAAGAGAAAAGGAATTAGGGGAGAGGATGGTCATGGGTAACACGTGTCCTAACAGCATGAAATAGAGGTCGGGTAGGGCAGGTTTTGTAGCTGCCCGTAGAATTAGAGTTGCCCGAGAGTCTCTCTTTTGTTCCTGGGTGGGAGGAAGAAACGAAGCGACACGTTTTCTTCTCAGCGAAATTCCGTAACGCATTCCATTACTTGCTTATATTATTACACTTCGCCAACGATGATTATTCTTATCGGGAGATTATCGACGGCGAGTTCCTGTTTCGGACGATTCCGATGACGGAGGTTTACTGTAGAATGCCAAGTGATGATGATATAGATTCGCCGGCCAAATGCCGAGAGCGCCGGCGCCGTAGAATAGAAATGAGGCGATTAGCAGCAGTACCGTCGGCGAAACCCTCGCCATCGCCGTCGACCAGTCACCACCACCGGAAGGAGAATCAAACTGAGAGTTCCGGTTTTGAGAAGAAGCGTGTTCGGAAGACGGACGGCGACGACACTCCGGAGGTTTTAACGTCTTCCTCTTCGGGGGAGGACGTGAACGCTGTAGTTGCTTCATCGTCGGTACCTCAGCCGGTGTTCGGGATGATGTCGGTTTCTGGGAGGTCACGTGAGATGGAGGATGCAGTATCGGTGAGCACGTGCCATATTGGTCCAGAAAGTCGACTACCGGTGCATTTCTTCGCCGTCTATGATGGACATGGAGGCCCTCACGTAAAGTTTAAATTTTATTTTTCCAGAAAATTAGTAAATAGAAANAGTAAAAAAAAAAAAAAAAAAAAGGAGGTGGAAATTACCATTGAGATCAAACTGAATTATCCTCTATAATGGCGGCATTGAGGGTTACTATCGTCATTATGATGGTCTAATTTGCTTTATTTCACAGGTGGCAACACTATGTATGGAGAAGATGCACGTGTTAGTACAGGAGGAATGGGCGCGCGTGGTGAATACGCGCGAGGAAACTGAGAGTATCGGTGGAGGAAGTAGCGCGGCGGAGGAGGAGGCGACTTGGAGAAGAGTGATGCGGCGGAGCTTTGAGAGAATGGATGAAGTGGCACTCAATACTTGTGCCTGTGGGAGCGTCGGAGGCCAGTGTGCTTGCCATCCAATGGAGGTGGCTCTCGGTGGTTCCACCGCCGTTGTCGCTGTGCTCACGCCGGAACATATAATCGTTGCCAACTGCGGTGACTCACGCGCCGTCCTCTGTCGAGGAGGAAGGGCCATTCCGCTTTCCAATGATCACAAGGTTTACTCTCTCTCAAGTCCTCTCCCGAAAATTGTTGACGTAATCGTCGCCAGCTGTTTGCTCAACACTTATTATGCTGTCAATTTTTGACGAGATGATAACGATTAAAGGATTGCTTGTCTAATCTTGTTGCTTGTATGATGCGATTGGACCATTTTAGCGTAAAAGAAATTTTAGATTGATTAGGTCTCCCTTACATTCTCATTCATTCAGCCATTTGTTCTTCTTTTCTCCAATTTTTTACTAATTTTGGGACACAAGCATAATGCTTCGCAAATGCTGTCCCATCCTTCTAGGGCTATTAATTTGTCGTAGTTATGTTATTGATGGCGATCCTGATGTACTATAGTTATTTATACAACACTTGTTGCCCGACTCTGGCTATGGGGATCAGTTCTTCAATCTCGGTTTAGATTCGTTAGCTCATTTGTATCACTGTGAAGAAAAGTGTGTAATGGTATCGTTTAATATAACCTTTCTGCTTAACGTTGAGTACTTCCTTGAAGCTTGGTCTTTTTTTTTTTTTTTTTGTCTGAAGTACATTTTAGATGGATAGAATGTTGTGTGAGCAGAAAATATATGATATTCTCTGCTTTCTCGAATTATTGATTCAGTGTTCTAATATTGTTGGTCTACTTAATTTCACTGTGTATTATTGCATGATACATTTTCCAGCCAGTAGGTGTCTCATGATGAACATATAGTATTTTTTTTCCTCACTATTTTGCTTATCTAATTCTCAGCCTGATAGAATTGATGAACTAGCAAGGATCGAAGCTGCAGGAGGACAGGTGATTTTCATAAATGGAGCTCGGGTTAAAGGCATCCTTGCAATGTCCCGTGCAATTGGTAATAGTTTCTGCTATTATGGATGTTGAATATGATATTATCTGCTTTTGTGGAGTTTGCCTAGACATTCCGACGTAAATTATAATGCTTCCAGTGTATGATTAATGCATATGGTCATCTACAGAAGTCTGATTTTGTTTTCAAGGAATTAAATAAACTGCTCACTGTGACACCGTCTAGGTAATTATGAGGTACACTTTTCTTGCTATTCACAAACTGATTGTGGTCGTGTTTAGTTTTGGTACATTTCTATGCAATCTTCTTTGTCAAATCCTGCATTCTTTTCTAAGTTCGAACATTGATTAGATTATAAGTTTCAAGGATTTCCTAAAAATTTGATTGTCGTACTCTGTCGCTAGTGCAATATATATATATATGAATACTCTCTAGAAGAGAATGTATAAAGCCTTAAATGAATGGAAGGATTTAGATTCTGATATATTTTTTAGTGACAAGAATTAATAGATAAAGGGACTGTTGATTCACTGAGGTTATGTAGTGCTTGGATCAAACACTATTTCGTTTTATTAGGTTGAGTCCATGGACAATTACAAATTGGAAATGGATGCTCATTTGGAATATACATATGATTTGACAAAAGAGGTTTATGCTGTACGGTTCACTGTGCTTGCATTCACTTATAATATTCTGGACAACCTTACTTGAACAAGATTCGTGCTATAAGGTTGTGTAAATGAGTCCTCGAGTTTAGGGACGAAAAAGTTTGTAACATTTTGAGTAAGATTGTTACTTCCTTGAATCTGGAGTACACTTATCACTCCCCATTTCATCTTGGAGCATTGGGCTTGCTGTAGCCTCGTGATTCTTCTGAAATGGGTTCCCTTACAACATTGCTTGGC